GGAAAGAGAGGTGTGATTTAGGGGTAAACCCTGCCCGGGCCTTTCAATAACACTGGGCTGATTCTTGGCAGCCTTGATGAGTGGGGCTAGCCAGGCCCACCCAGCTTCAAAGGTGCAGATGGAGCTCAGTGAGCAAAAGTTGGCTTGACTCTGCTCAGAGTCTGAGTTTGGTCCCCAGTCCCTCTTGGGTTTAAAATAAATCTTCCACAAGAACACCACGGCACAGCAAGAGCAGATTTTAAACCCAGCTGATGACTTACCAATTCAACCACTTTGTCCAGATTTAACCTTGCCTCTTTGCCCAGTGTATCTTGAATTTTATCATTAAAGGACCTCTCTCTTATTTGGGCCCTGGGGTTTTTGAAAGAAGACAACATAATGTAATTGTTCAGCCATCAACGTTGTCATTATCCTTCACCTCTGGCAGGATAGCACCTGGCCAGATGTTCTTTATAAAATTGCCATTTGCACATGTGTAGGTGTTGGGTTGATCTCACACACACTCTCACATACAAACTGAACTGCTTTTACATAAAATTATTTAACAATATGAACAATTGGGTTTTTGTGAAAAAGTTTTGAGTAGTGAAAATATATGGCCAGCACTTTGGAGGCTGAAGCAGGAGGACAGGAAGTCAGGCCAGTCTGGACTACACAGGGAGTTCAAGGCCATCTTGAGCTACCTAATGAGACTTTATCGCAGAAAACAAAATAACAAAAAAGAAAAATACAAGAATAGATGTTTTGGGCTTCTTGAATTTTATGATTAAGGAACCTTTGGAAAACTAGGTTTATCACCGAATGAGAGGTAGCGAGCCCCTGCAGCATGCAGGTTCCTGTGTGCATGTGTGGTAAAAGGCCTAGCCGATGGAACGCTGTGCTGGCTTGGCAGCCCTGGACAAGACTGTGACACAGTACTAGCATGGGCTCAGAACACAGCACGGGAGGGCCTACACCTGTGCTGAGCTTGTACCCTCGGAGCCACTGTAACAAGCAGTCTTGACATGTGGTTTGTTTTCTATGACCTGCCTGAGCAGTGGGCATGAAGAACAGAGCTTCGAGGGACAGACTCGAGTGGCATGTGACACAGCTCTCCTGTGCTTCCCATGCTTGTGAGGTGGTCTCTATCTCTTAGAGGACTGTGGAGAGGATGGAGCTGGTATAAAGTATTTAGCATGGAAAAGCAGAGCAGCCATTGTGTAACTGGTAACAGTAACTATGTTTTTTTTAATTTTTAATTTTTTTGAGACAGGGTCTCACTATACAATTCAGGCTGGTCTTGAACTTAACAGTCCTGTATCAGCCTCCCGAGTGCTAGGATTACAGGAGTGTACCATCACACTTGGCCTGCCTGCTTGCCTTTTTCTTTCTTTCTCTCTTTCTTTTTGTAACAAGGTTTTATTAAAGTGAGGAAAAGAAGGGCTGGTGATATAGCTCAGTGGCACAGCACCTGCCTAGCAAGTGTAAGGTCATGGGTTTGATTCTCAGTACCATCCCCCTCACCAAAAACAACCCCCCCCCAAAAGAAACCCCAAAATGATCAGAAAAGAAACAGGCTCTTCAGAGTGAGTTTGGACCAAGTAAAAGTCAGAAAAGAAGTACACGCTACAGTGTGAGGGTGGGCCACCATGCAAAAGACAACAGTGGCAAACTATGACTTTAACAGACAAATAGAAAAAAACATTTTTTTGGAAACAGTCTCACTAAGTGGACTAGACCAGCTTCAAACTTGAGCTCTTTCTGCCTCAGCCTCCTAAATGAAGTTATAGGAGTGTATCACCATGCAAGGCTCTTGTTAACAATTTTATTTCCAAGTGCATTAAACTTGGTTGGGGTTGTTTCAAGGAAAGCTATTTCAAAAACATAACTGAGGGGCTGGGGATTTAGCTCAGCGGCATAAGCTCCTGCCTTGCAAGCAGGCAGTAGTGAGTTCGATCCCTGGTACCGATAAAAATGAAAAAGACTAAAACAAACAAACAAAAAAAACCCCCATAACGGAATACTCTCCATTTTCATCCCACTTCAGGCCACAAGTATATTGCGTGGTACAGACTCTGGGACCAGCCTGTCTGTATGCTGGCTCTGACTCTTACACTACAGTGAACTTGGTCAGGTTATTTAGTCTACCCTCTGTACCTCCCTGCTCATCTGTAAAATGGGCAATAGTACTTTGTGAAGATTAAAAAGGTGAATACTGCACGTCAGTACATGTTGGCGCAGTAAGGTGTGAGGACTATTAATTACTCATTACTCCACAGACATCTCTCATTGTGGCAGGAGCCAGCAGTGCCTGTGGCAGGCTTGGAATCCAGGCCTGACCTTCCTCTGGCAATAGCTCTGGCCAAATCTCAAATTCTCAGGCCTCGGTTCTGCTCTGCAGATGACAGCCTGCTCCTTCCTTTCCCCACACTGCACAGATAAACTCTGGGACACCAGGACTCAGCTAATGTTTGTAACAGCTCACGGTTTTCCAAATGGGCTGGGATCCTTGCAGGGTGCTGCAGTGTCTGTCGGCAGAGCAGTGGCTCTCCAGCTGCTTCAGTCCAGTCCTGACCTGCTGTCCTAGTCCCTACTAGCCCACTCCTTCCATGCTGCCTTCACCACGTCCACTGTCCTGTGTGGCTCTTCTCCACGGGCTGCCCTCCTGTAGTCACCAGTGCCGGCCCAGCAGGGGCCCTCAGACAGGAACCTCCAACTTCGGATCTAAGGCCATGGGTGGGCTGGGCTGAGATGGTAGTGGGGAATTGTGGGCCATACTCCAAATACCTAAGTTGGTTTTTTCCTGGTGAGTTTTGGTGCTGGCACCAGAAGATAGTCATGGGCCTGGTGTGCAGTACTGTCACTGCAGCTAAGGTTCTGGGTCCTCAATGGGGACTGAGCCAGGCCCAGGGTACTGCAGCCTGAGCCCCTTTTCCCAGCTGTCGCTCTTCTACCTCCCTGTTCTCAGCCCTTCATCAGCATCAGCAGCAGGACCTGTAGTAAAGAATTCTTAGATGGGTCTTCTGACCAGGTGCTTGTCTGCAGCCTGGGTGATAAACTAAGCATGAAGGGCCCCTTCAGGAGAGGTAAGGAGCCGAGAACTCTGCTGTGGCGCTGTCCCGATGACCTGCTCCCTGCACGGCCACTGCCCTGTCTCTCAGCAGCCACACCATGCTTTTGTTTTCTGACACACGTTAGGCATTTGTGATGTTCAACAAAACTTACCCTTAGGCCATATCTGATCTATAGATGGGTTTTATTTTGCCTGCAAGCAGGTAGAGAATTTTGCAGTTGTTAATGAAATCAGATTTCATATAAAAATCTAGATTCCTGATCCCAGCACCTGGGAGATTGAGGTAGGAGGATTGCTGTTAGTTCGAGGCCTTCCAGGGCTATGAAGTGAGATTAAGACCAGCCTGAACTGCATAGTGAAACACTGTATCAAAAAGGAAAAAAAAAAATCTGGATTCCTTAGATTACCTGGAACATTCTGAAGACAGAGCCACTTCCTGTGAAGTGGCAATCCACTAGCACCTGGGCGGCTGGCCCTTTAGAAAAATGCTCTCCACTCCCACTCCTCCCTCTTCCCACCTGAACTGTCGCTGCTTCGCTCACTGACTAGACTTACCTTATTGTGCCCAAAGCACAGACCAGCTCCTGCCGGTGACTTGGCAGTGACCAAAGAAAGGGTTTCCAGCAGCTCCATGACAAAGACAGCTGTCAACACACACTTGTGGCAGTGGGTTCTGCATCTGGCCAGGCAAACAGCAGGGGCAGTGCAGTGGGCACCTGTGAGAGGCTTGTCCTGACCAAGAGGCTCCTGGTGGCTGCAATTACACCTTCCTCTGCTCCACCCTCTCTAGTGAAAATAGGTGGCCCCATGCCATTTGTGCAAGAGGTAGCAAGGGGTAGGCATTTGGCTTTAGGGAACCACTGTCACACATGTCCCTCCATGTAATTATTCTAATTCTTATCACTAAGACATCCAAGAGAAACAGACAAATAAGTGGTGGCAGTGCATGGGGGCAGGATGTGACAATCTGGGCTGAGGCAAATGTGCTAAAACAAGGTGTGGAGAGCTGGCCTGATGGCTCACACCTGTAATCCCAGCATTTGGGAAGCTGAGGTTGGAGGATCGTTAAGTGGGCTCAACGCCAGCCTGAACTGCATAGGGAGACCCCATCTCAAACAAGACAAACAAACAAAAAAAAAACCCAAAGTGTGGAGGCTCTGGGTGTGGCAGGAAACACACACAGCTGGAGAGATGCATTCAGCATGTTAAGGCAGCAAGCTGTGTGAGAAATCTTGGAGTGAGGATGTCAGGAAACATCTGTGTTGTGTCTTGGCCCTTGGCTTCAAGGATAATCCACTAGAGGGTTTTTTTTTTTTTTTTTAAAATACTTTTTTTTTTTCTTTTTATCCATACCGGGGATTGAACTCACGACCACCTGCTTGCAAGGCAGGTTCTTATGCCGCTGAGCTAAATCCCCAGCCCCCTCCACTAGAGGGTTTTAAAGGGCACCTACAGCAGGACAACCTCCCAGAATGGAGGGGCACCACTGCAGCCTTTTTCTTTTTTTGGAATCAGGGTCTCACTGTGCAGTCTAGGCTGACTTCAAACTCAAGGCAATCCTTCTGTCTTAGCCTCCTAAACGCTAGGATCACAGGCGTACGCCACCACATTTGGCTCCTACCTTGATTTTTACTACAGGTGTAACATTAATCCCTAAGAAGAGACATCAGAGGAGAGGCTTCAAATCAGTCTCAGGATTTTTCAAATTAGACTTACTTCATGATACAGAAAACAAAGCCACACATGAAACAGAACTGGTCTGGAACTGGGGTCAGCAGGAGGCCCTGACCTGAACCTCAGTGACCTCCTTTCAGAGCTCTGCAGTGCCATAGGGGACCAAGACCACTGACTTGAGTATAGGTATCCTTTGAAAAGCATGAGCCACCCCAGAAACAGAGCCCTTTTGCTCAAGAGGCCAAGGACTGCTCCAGAGACGAATGGTTTCCACTTCCTGTTGCCACATTTTAAACTATTTATTGAATGAGGCAGTATAGACAGAATGGAAAACAACACAGAATCCATGCTTTGCTACTGGAGTTTTGCTTTTTTTGCTTCTTCTTGGCAAGTTCTCAAACTAGTAGGAGGTTATTTTACCACAAAGGAACCCGGACTTTAAAGCCCTGGACAGCTTCACAATGACAATAAAAAATAATAATTAAAAAAATAACAAGTTGTAGAACTAGGACTGTTCATATGTAAATTTCCCTCCCCTCCCCCCATTACGTACAGAAAAGAACATATAAAGAAACATTAGATAGTTTTATATAAAACAAGCAAATACAAGAATCTGAAACTTTTCTCAAAGGCTGAGCAAGACACGAGGAATCTTTTAATTCGCATTTAAAAAAAACATTAAATACACTATCACACAAGTAGGGGAACCTGGGAAGAGGGAGGAAGTGTTGTCCCTGTACTCAAGGAGCAGAGATTTGGCCTGTCAAAAAGTCAGGTGGATTTGTCCACTTGAGACTCAGGGCCGCTGCTGGGAAAGCACAGAACCTGACAGCGACGACACCTGTGAGCAAGAAGGCCACTCAGGGCCCGGCTCAGAGGCAGGAAAGAGGGCCTCGCACCGCCTGTCCCAGGAGGGGAGCCAAGGACTCTGGCGCTTCCTCTCTTGACTGTCCTGCTGTGAGGGCCATCTTCCCAGAGCCAGGTGTCCTTTCTGGTCAGGGTCTTCTCTGCGGAGCTACTCCAGCCGGCGAGAGAAGATGGCTCGCACTGGTGAACCTGGTCTACGAACTTCTCTCCCTCCTTCCTTTCCCTTCAGCTCCTCACATCCTTTCCCACTCTTTCCCCCATGACGCGCGCACACACACACACCCAGAAGCACACTTAGCACGCACTCCTCAGACCCTTAATACTTCTGTTCCCTTCAATTCATACACATGACCAAGTCAGGACTGACCTTAAAACCAAAGCAACTCTTCAACAGTCATGAGCTCCAGGCGGCTTCCTGGGAAGGGGAAGAGGTGGGAGGCCGAAATTCATCTTCTTGGCTCTTTCCCTCCGCCCGAGGTAAGCGCAGTCCCTGGGCTGGCTGAGAGTGTCCCAGCTGGCAGGCCACTGGCCCTGGGCCCCTCGGTGTCCTGGAACCTCCTTCCTCAGCTGAGTTCAGCAGGGAGAGTTCTAGGCAGCTGCTGGGAGGCAGCTTTGGTGAAGAGCATGGTCACCTCTGCCTGAGTTTGTCAGTAGCTCAACGCATGACCCTGGTATGAACAAAAACCAGGTGACTGTGTCTGGCCACGTACCCTATCACCCACTAAACTGGGTGGATTATCCTATCCACAGCTCACCTTGATTTCATACAGAATTCCATGCGGGTTTCATACATATATATATATGTATGTATATATATACTTTATATATATATGTAAATGTGTATGTCCATATGTACACATATACATATACTCACACTCACACATACACGCACATTAAGTATACACACATGTTTCTGCAGAAAGAAGTCCTGCCACAATTTGGCTTTTTTGGGACAGTGAAGTTGACAATGCAGCTTCTTACTCCACCAATCCCAGAAAATCAAGAGTGGTGCTTTATAAAAATGCAATTCCAAAATCCACTGCCTTTCTTCCTTTTCAAAAAAAGGTTAACAAAACTTTTCTTCCAAAGTCAAGAGACTTAATTCCATTTGATTGCACCTCTGCAAAACGTGTAAAAAATTTTGAAGTAGACTAGAAAATGATGCCATAGTATGGCTGTGTGTCACTGTTCCAATGTTACCACCTCCACAGCCTGGCCGTCCATGGTGACTGCGCTGTCTGATATCCTGGTGGTCACAGGGGCCATGGCCACCTGTACTGGGCCGTTGCCCTGGGCGAGGCTGGTTACCACAGTCTGGTACATGCTCACTGGGATCTGGACCAGGCCTGGAGAGACAAAGGCAAGACAGTAGGTGAGGGCTGTGCTCATGTTCTGGTGCGGGCAGGTAGGGGCACCCAGCCCCTGATCTTTCAGGATGGTTCTGTCTGCTGGCCTCAGAAAACCACATAACCTACTTTGCAGACTACTGTCTTTTGCTTCACCCCACTTTACTTTTTAAAACAGAATATCAAGAATGAAAATCTGGAGAAACTGGAAATACTTCAGGGCAGGGCCTCTACAACTTTCCAAGAGACCCTGTCTCCATCTTCATGAAACATGGGCTTATCTGCTATGAATCTTAGCCCCCAACCTCCTTCCTCCTCTGGAAACAGCCACCATACTCCGCTTTGGGCTGCACCACCTACCTTAACCCCTTTTCTGTTGTGGTAGGTTTCTCTAAGCTTAAAAAACTCCCTCTCCTATTCTTTTCTGGTCTCTGCTCAACTATATATCTTCAGAGTCAAGTTTTTTTTGTTTTGTTTTGTTTTTGTCTTTTTCCTTTTTATCGGTACCGGGGATCGAACTCACGACTACCTGCTTGCAAGGCAGGTGCTTATGCCACTGAGCTAAATCCCCAGCCCCCCAGAGTCAAGTTTTTTAAAAAAGGGTATGTGGAGGACTAATTCACTTGATGCTGATTTTTAGATTTTATAATAAAATTTAAAAAACAATTTTGGGGTCTGGGGGTTTAGCTCAGTGACATAAGTGCCTGTTTGGCAAATTTGAGGTCCTGAGTTCGATCCCCAGCACCAAAATAAATAAATAAATAAATAAATATTTTTAAAAATTTGAGGTCAACTCAGGGTGGGGGAGAAAGAGAGAGACTCAACTGTCTTGCAATATCCCTATTTCTTAGAGTAGGAAGGGCAGTTTACCATAAACTGAAGCACCCTTCAGAGAAGGGTGGTTGTCCATTTCTAGCTAACTAAGACCAAATAAACCTACTGGTTCACCTTTTCTTCCTTCGGAAACTAGCATTACGGTGAATAAGGATAAGGAAAAGGCTGTAAAAGGATGCTGAGATAGTTTTGGAAGGTGGAACACAAATGTGAAAAAGCAGTTCTTGCTCAGGAGGTACAGGTGCAAGGCTATTCTCAAAGGCACTCCAGACGTGGAGTGCTCGCTTTTGCAGAGAGGGAAGGAGGCTGAAAATCTGAACTTAATGGATACACCTGTAGGTGCCATGGCCTTTGCAACACCACATAGACTCAGCCTTTGTCTCGAGAACCTGACATGTCCCAATAAAAGATCTACAGTGACATTTCGTGGGTAGGGGAGGGCTGCTGACCTAATACTAACCCTAAGGCATGTAGGTCACCAGATTCTGCTCCTGTGTACTATGACAATCAATGTTTTAGTATGTCACTCTTAAGGGACATAGAGGTACGCAGAGAGAAGAGGTATACAGAGGTAGCTGAGACAGAGGAGTGTAGAAGAAAGTAAACAATATTCTTATAGATGAGAGACCTGTATGTGCAAGGCCCTGGATTTATTTTCCAGTGTGCGCGCACACACACACTATAAAAGAGGAATATAAGATTTTTGTTTTGTTTTTCCAAGACAGGGTCATGCTATGCAGCTCCAGCTCGCCTTGTACTCATGGTGACCCTCATGCCTCAGTCTCCCAAATGCTGGGATCACAGGTCTGCTCCACTACATTCAGCTCAGATTTAAGCAAATTTCTAGGATTGAAAAGACATTAATTGGGGCTGGGGATTTAGCTCAGCGGCATAAAGCACCTGCCTTGCAAGCAGGCAGTCGTGAGTTCGATTCCCGGTACCGATAAAAAGGAAAATGGGTGGGGGGGAAGAAAAGACATGAATTTCAGATTGAAAAGGCCCATATGATACCCAGTGGTATGACAGATGAAAAAAAAGATCCACACGCTACGACACATCTTTGGAAATGTGTCTGCAACACTGCGGATACATGCAAAGATCCTAAGTGATTATAGAAAGAACAGAAGGTCAGACAAAGAAATGGGAATAAGGGGATTTAGCTCAGCGGCATAAGTGCCTGCCTTGCAATCAAGTGGTCGTCAGTTCGATCCCCAGTACTAATAAAAAGAAAAAAAAAAAAAAAAAAGAAATGGGAATAAGGTGGGACTTTTTTTTTTTTTAATTTTTTTGTCTTTTTCATTTTTATCGGTACCAAGGATCGAACTCACGACCGCCTGCTTGCAAGGCAGGTGCTTATGCCGCTGAGCTAAATCCCCAGCCCCAAGGTGGGACTTCTTAACAGCAAACCTAGAAGCTGAAAGATACCGGAGCAATACTTTCAAGGGCTAGAATTCAACACGGCCCACCATGAAGCATGCTCGCATCAGTACAGCCTGCTGCAGGTCAAAGGCACCCAGAGTGCTGTGAGGGCTGGAACGGGTTGCTCCTTACAGGACCCAGACAGCGATGAAGCACATGCTCCAAAGTGCAACAGTGCACACCCGGGGGCAGTCACTGTGGAGGTAGTCTGCGGCAAAGAATGTCCAAGAACGCCAGATGGGGCCGGGGTACAGGATACCCCGTGAGAGAGCACTGGGGTTTCCGGAGCGCAGCCCCAAGGTCACAGCTGGAGATAAGTGGTTAGAAAGCAAAGGCCCTTCCCCACTCCGCCCCAATGCAAGTATTAATTTGGAGAGAAAAGTTACAGAAGGAAGGAAAAAATAAGTTACAGAGAAAACACAGTTGCATTAACTATAATATACCTCTCTTGGCAGTCGACTTTTTTTTTTTTTTGTTTTTTGACACAGGATCTCTATGCAGTTCAGGCTGGCCTTAGCTTATTTTGTAGCCTACGCTGGTCTAGAACTCACAACAATCTTCCAGCCTCAGTTTCCCAAGTGCTGGGATTACAGGTGTAAGCCACCACGCCCGGCAGTCAACGACTTTTATGTGAACAGAATAATATAAACATAGATATCAACTTATCCAAACTGTAATAATGTCTCAACTAAAAAAAGCTCCAACTTTATTTAGGTCAGTAATGATATATACCAGGAAAAAAACCGCATAAAAATGTGACATCTGATCTATAGACTTTTTTTTTTTAAAGACTTTTCGTCCTTTTTTAGGAGAGTGTGCATTTTAGTTTTAAACCACTGTGTTTTCCACTTAACAGTGCTTAGAAAGCGCACGCAATTTCCGCCCCGTGCTCCTATTGCGTACGCAAGTACTGGGCGTTCCTGGGAATTTTCTACAGTGGCTCCTGTAAGAAAGCCAGAGGCAGCATGGTGATGTAGCTCAGCAGCACAGCTCCTACTCTCACAAGCCGAAGGTCCTGAGTTTGATTCTTGATATCCTCCCCACAAGAAATAATAAAAGCGCCAAAGGATCGCTACACAGCGGAACTCACGCCCAAAGGGAGGGGCAATCAATGCTGAAGGCCAGAGCATAGAGGATCCATTTGCAGAAGCCACTTAGAATTCCTACTGACATTTAAATCCTATGCTACTTTGATGAAAATGTTAAAAAGAGATGAAACTAGAACCACGTAAAGTGAAACATTTTGCAATGTTAAATTGTGTGTGGATTTTTGGGGGGTTAAATTTTGCCAGTGTTGGGGAGAAGCAACTAACGCAACATGAAACAGGACTTGGTGTTTTGATGGTAATTTGCAGTATTAGAGATTGAACCCTGAGCCTTTACACTGAGAACATTTCCAGCCCTTTAAAAAAAAAATTTCTATTTTAAAAGTTTCTCACTAAATTGCTGAATTGCCAGGTTGAGCCTGAATTTGTGTTTTCCTGTCTCAACTCCCAGGGTGCTGGGACTATAAGTGTGCACCACCTGACCCCATTGTCTTTTTTTTTGGTCCCAGGGATTGAACTCAGACCTTGAGTTTGCCAAGCAGGCACTTATGCCTGCTGAGCTAAACCCCTCCCCCACAGCCCACTGTCATTTTTAAAGCCCTGCTCTTACTGGTGTGTTAACAGGAACTCAAGAAAAGCTGGTGGCTTCAGGTGAGATGCTGGGGCTAGGGTAAGGAGTCAGAAGGGCCAGAAACTGGCTTCAGAAGGTGCAGGGTTTAATTTCTTTCATCTAACATTTGCCAATTAATTTCTAAGTGTTTCTTATCAATGCCTCTTTCAGGTCTCCTCCAGTTTATCTTCCACTAACATGTTATTTCTGAAATATCAAACTCTGAAATTCCATGATATTGTTTCCTAATACCTATAATAAAGTGCAAAGGCTTTAGCATGGCCTTTAAGGTCTCTCAAGATTTGCCTTGGTTTACCTTTTGAGACAGCCTGTTGAGCAGGGGCCTCTTGCAAACCTGAAACCCAGTGATCCTTCCACCTCTCAAACTCTAGAACTATACGCTGCGGCCCAGAGCTTGGCCAATTCATTGTTTTGTTTCTGCACTGAGCTCTTTCCCAAATTTTTTATCTTTTATTTTGAGACAGGGTCTTGCTAAATTATCAGGTTAGGGTCCAGCTTGAGTTCTTTCTGCCCCAGTTTCCAGAACGCTGAGATAAATAGGTGCCACTGCACCCAGCCTGATCTCTCCTTACAATCATTTCCTTACTCTCTCAGACTCCAGGCTCAGCGACCCCTCCCTTCCACCATCCTCAGTCACAGGCCTTTGGGTCTTTGTTCAAGGTACTCACTGCAAGGATTCTCACTCCCACTCCTTCCCCTTTGAAATTTAATTCCTCTTCTTGGATTCCTGCCCCATGTCAGCCCCAGCCAACGCTCACAGCTCCTCCATAGTGGGTCAGAGACAGCATAGCACAGCCTGCTTGGCAGTATAGGGCAGCCTAGGCCTTCCCACTTGGCTAAGAGCTCTGCAGGCCAAGGGTGGTTTCACATTCCCAACAGAGTGAAGTACGGAGTGTGCCTCAAGATCACCCTGAGGGGAACAGATCAAGGGAATGGATGGTTGGCCTGACCTATGTACAGCCAGGCCCTGGTCCCAGTCTCCAGACAGGCAGGCCTGAATATATGAGGCCCCCAGGCCCAGCCTCTGGCTTGTCCAGCATATCAGGACCATTGCTGCTTTCCAACGCTTC